CTCAACTGCCCAAGCTGATAAATCACAGGCCCTGGTTTCAAAGAACAATGCTAAAAGGGTGTTCAATCCAAGCAGAATCTGAAAATGTTCGGTTTGTTATAGGACTGATAATAAAATTTTGATTTTGAAACTGCTGTGGTGACTTTGCACTTGAGTCATACAACTCTCGGCCAAAGATACTGTTTCTGGTATCATTTTGTTCATCATTCATGGGCCAATGGCTGTTTACGAAAGATGCCAGATCTTTCTGCCAGACCACCACTACCCAACTAGAATTCCTGGGGCATAGTTTGATCCTTAGCCAGGATCAAAATGAGGCTTTAACGATGAAGAACCAACAGACACCACCTAAGTATGATCTTCAATTAAATCTGCACATCTTTGGGTCTTTAAGCCTTTTAAAGTCTCTTGAACATTTTTAAGTAGGACTAAATTCTGGCTTAAAAAAAAAAAGAAAAGAAAAGTTGCCCCCACTCTTTAGCTCTGAAGTTTTTTTCTAGAATGGGAATGCTGAATTAAAATACTGATGACAATAATGATCTTCAGAGCAGCTACCATTTGATCTGCTATTATTATTTTCTTGGCGCCACACAGAGCACTTACCATACATATTCTCACTGAATGTTCACAGCTCTGAGGTAGGTATTATTATTGCATTTAAAGACTGTTAGGATAATTGAGACAGACAGATTCAGCATTTCCCCATGTTCTTCAGCTACTCAGAGGCACAGCTGAAACTGAAACCCCAAATCCTATGCTCCTTCCCAGAAGGTGGGTCACCCGGAAAAATTATGTAACTGGGAAAAATGATCAGTAAGAAAGCTAACATTCAAACATAGAAAAAGATTTAGGACTTCAAAGTCATATATACTGTGTACACTATGACTGCAACTACAGAAAAATGTCAAGAACAAGGACTGAATAGGAAAGGTAAAAACAAGAATCTTTTAACATTGTTTTTCAAGGAAAGTGATTTTACTTGGCAGAGTATGGAAGAGTTTTTCAAAAATTGTATTTTAATCAAAGTGGAAGGAATTACCACAGAACAAAGACTCTGCATCATGCTGCAGCATTTCCAATGCAAACCTGAGAGAGCTTCAACAAGCTACCTGTGTAAGAGGGAACCTTGAGTATAAACCCTATGGGTGACTTCACCTTTCCTGAACCGGGCCAGGCCCTGGCAGCATTATGCACCTGCACACCAAGAAATGTACGGATGACTCCAGTGCATTTACTGACGTGGAAGCCAAAACATGGTTGGAACACCTATAACCAGCTTTCATGCAAAGATCCCCCTCAGCTTTTCTACTTTTTTAATTATTAAAGTTTCATAAGTTTTCTACTGCATTCTGTATTACTAACTCAGAGTCTCCCAACCTCAGCACTACTGAAATTTGGACTGGGTCATTCTTTGCTGTTCTGTGCACTGTAGGATATTTGAACAGCATCCCTAGCCTCTAGTTGCCAGGTGCCAGCAGTACTCTTTCACCCACTTATGGTAACCAAAAAATTCCTCCACACTGCCAAATAATTCCCTACAGAGCAAAATCACCCCAACTGAGAACCACTGACCTAACTGCAGCCTCAGTGCAGTAAACTGGCGAGAAACTTTACTCAGGGAGCCCTAGGAGGAGAAGATGAGATCACAGGAGTTGTGAATGACTCTTCCAAGTCCCATCTTTCTATAAGTAGCTTATAAGGGAATACGTGGGAAGATTCGCAAGTGCACAAAGATGTGCAATTTGGGAAGAGTTTGGGGGAAAAAATAGGAAAGTATAAACTGGTCTCAATCAAATCAAACTCCCTGAAACACCTTCCATCACCAATGTATGTACAGAACTATGAAAATATATACCATGTGAATGAGAAATTTTTATTGCAGAACAATTAGAGCTAATTCAGAATCACAATATTTGTCTAACATTATTTTGTTCACTTTTTTCCCATTTGTTCAAGCAAAAAGAAGACAAGAGAAGACTATGAGGGCCGAGGCTGCACACGGGCAGAAGGAATAACAGCCTGCAGAGGACACATCCACATCGTGCCTCACTGCATCCTCAGAAAACAGCGACCCTCCTTTTACAGCTGCAGACATCGGTGGTCAGAGGGCGTGCAGAGGCAGAGGCAGAGGCAGAGCCAGGGCTCTAAGACAGGAGGAGAAGGCTGTCGGAGGTGGTGAGGAGTAGGAGAGTAAACTCAGGACAAAGACAGCGCACCTAGACTAGGAATGATGGATTCCCATTCCTGTCCCACCACTTACTGGTGACGGGACCTCTGGCAAGTTACCCCCCATGAGCCCCCACTTCCTTATTTGCAAACGAACCATAAAATTATCATCTGCTTAGCCCCAGCTTCCTTGTTCGTAAACCAAACATAAAACCATCATATACTTCATATCTACACCTGGTCTAGTCAAAGAAGTTTAGGAGATAAGGCAGCAATTTGGGGAACTATTCTGAGAAATAAACCACAAACAGCCTTTAAGACATTTTCTGTATCATGACTGTTGCTGCAGGAACTAGTCCCTGGGCTTTGTTCTTTGAAAGTGATCAGACAGAAAACAACTTTACAGGACAGTGTATGAGAAAGAGACCGAAGGAGCTGCAGGGGATTTGGGCAGGGCAGGGAGGGCCCATCCAGGCCTACTGACGGGGTGCGTTTGAAAATTATTCAATCATGCACTGGGCCCTGACATTTCTCAGAATGAATTTCCTCCATAAAACTAAGCTTATGGTCAAGAAAGTTAAACAATTTCTAGAAGTTTTACTGCTTAACTTGCTGTCATAAGTACACAAAGGCAGTTGAGTAAAAGCATCAAAACAAACACTGATTGTATCATCAGCACCGTCCAAATAAGGCAAATTCTGGTGACCTGACTTGCAACTGTTATAGAGAAAAAAGGGTAACAAGTGAACATACCAGCTTAAGAGTTTACTTAACTCCCCAGGCCTCCCCACAGTCTCAATTTATTTTGCTTTTTCTCAAATATAAAATTCAAGACTTCAAAAAAATTTTAATAGTGTCCAAGAGGCAACAGTCAAGAAGTACACAACGTAGTTTAGGTTTTGTTTATATGGAAATGTCAAATTAGTTCCTATTTTATTTTACCTAATCTCATAAACAAAACCTATGTGACACATGAAAGAGCAAGCATTACTTTTAATTGGTATTTTTTTTTATATTCCCCAACCTGGCCTCCAGGAAAATAAGTCTATCAAAGCATATACTGAGTTATTAGCTTAAAACATGTACCCAAACAAAGTCAACTAAAACACACAGATTTTGGTAGTGGAAAACCATCCCAGAGAAGCAAGTTTTACTGGAGTATACTGCTACTGCTAACTATAACTGGATACTAATTCAGGATTCAACTACCTAAAAACAAATCTAATTCAAAAGAACTAATCTTTGCTCTGGCTGGCATAGCTCAGTGGATTGAGTGCAGGCTACAAACCAAAGCATCACAGGCTTGATTCCCAGTCAGGGCACATGCCTGGGTTGCAGGCCACGGCCCCCAGAAACCACACATTGATGTCTCTGTCTCTGTCTCTGTCTCTCTCTCTCTCTCCCCCTCCCTCCCTCCCTTCCCTCTCTAAAAATAAATAAATAAAATCTAAAAAAAAAAAAAACCCAAAAAACTGAAGACTCCAAAGAATTAAAAAAAAAAAAAGAACCAATCTTTGCAAACTATTACTTAAATGAAATGACACATTTTAAGATCAGCTAAATTGCAGGAGATTCCAAGGGGTACTCTCATAAAATTAAATTTCTGCATCATTTGCAATTTTATTCTTTAGTCAAATATTGCAAAATAAAAATCTGCTAAGTCACCTCAAATATCTACTTTGAAAGTGAAGGTTTGCCACCAAGTACAAATAAAGTTCAATTTCCTTTGAGTTTTTAATATACTCTAAACCTCTGTAATAGATTTTAATATAAGAAGCATAACAAATGACTCTAAATGTTTTTAATCCAAGTATGATAAATGGAATTTGGAATAAATTAGTACACTATGAGCAGTCCCCAAAACCTCAAGATAATATTTTCAATTCTCCAGTAACTGTGAAAATTTCAATTCCACATATTAATAACAGGCTACACGAAATAGCATGGGCTCAGAGATGTCTGATTTCAACAGCCTACTTCCTTGGGGTAGAAGAGAAAGATGTGGAAATATTTCTCATTAGCCACATCAACCTTTACAGTAGAGGAAGAAAGATGTGCCAATTCACAGGATGTACTCTACTTGAAAAGCATCTGAGATCATTTAGTGTAAACAGAAGCATTTAGAAACTAAAAGTTCCTGCTCAGACACAATTTCCTCTTTCCATCCATTCTTGAAAGTAGCCATTTTTAGGTGAACTGCATCCTAACTTTTGAAACAGACATTAATATAACTGTGGACAATAACTAACCACAGTAAACTATTTAATGACTACTGCAAATATGCCCAGGCTTTATCAAATTACTCTGAACTGATGCAAAGTCAAAGCTGATTACTGTACACCGGTCTTCAATCCGCCCAGGCCAACTTTTCTCTGAGACCGGTAGGGAAGAAGGCACTCTGTGCCCCCCATCCCCTCCTTCAGGCTGCAGCGACCCCTGCATAACTACAAAGCAGAGCTGTCAAGCCCACAGGCCCCTACCAATCTCAGCAGGAGCGATAAAGCCATGAAAACTGAGAGAGAAAGAAAAACAAATCAGGAGAATAAGCAGTTTTGTGCTGAAGGGGATGGAAGGTGACAGACACATCAGAGGTGCCACCTTCCTGATGGGCAAGGAGGAAACAAAATATGATGGGCAAAGTATTATATTAGAAAGTATGAGTACTTATGGGGAACTAAGAAAGCTAGCTACTCAGAAAACATGGGCAAAAAGGCCAAAAATAGATTAAGGAAGCACCAGCATCTTTATCAGGCATAAATAAGCAATTGCTATCCTGCTGACACCCTCAACTGCACATAAAAAGAGAAAGGCCACGTGTGGGGGGCAGACCATACCACTTTCTCCTGAGGTTGGGGACGGTGGTGGGGTGGCAGCTGTAACGCTGTGTTTGTCCCAGACAGTCTCCAAGATACCTATGTACCAAGAGAGGAGAAACAAACGAGTTTAAGAGAAAAATAAAGTCCAACATATGCAAATCAGATTCAGAAAAGCAATTTATTGATATCTTTGATCAAACATCAGTATCTAAACATCCCTCTGTCAACCATATGTCTAACTGCCTTTTTAAAAAATTCTCACCCCAGGATATGTTTGATTTTAGAGAGAGGAGGGGCACAAAGAAACACTGATGTGACCCTGGCTGGTGTAGCTCAGTGGACTGAGCGCAGGCTGCAAACCAAAGGGTTACCAGTTCGATTCACAATCAGGGCACATGCCTGGGTTGCGGGCCAGGTCCCCAGTGGGGTCCACGTGAGAAACAACCACACACTGATGTTTCTCTCCCTTTCTCCCTCCCTTTCCCTCTCTCCAAATAAATAAAATCTTTAAAAATAAATAAATAAAAATTAAAAAAAAAAAAAAAAAAACATCGATGTGAGAAACTTCATTTGGTTGCCTCCCATACACACCCTGACCTGGGATCAAACCCACAACCTACGTATGTGCCCTGACCAGGAATCAAACCTGCAACATTTTGGTGTACAGGGACGACATTCCAACCAACTGAGCAACCTGGCCAAGGCTCTTACTGCTTCTTCCAGAGCACCACTTGGATATTCCAAACTCAATTTACCTTCCCCCCACAAACCTGCCACTAATCCTCTTCTTTTCCTCACCCAGAAAATAGCACCATTCCTATCATCTCAGCAACTGGCCCCTGCTCTTCCCATCTCGCCTCACCCCACCCCCACACACAAGACTTCATCATGCTGACTGAACTGTTTGCTGTTCCTTCCACATGTGTCCTTCCCTTTCTCAATTTCTGACCTGCTCTCCTCCCCTAGAATCCCAACTTGACCTTCACACCAGACTACCTACTACCTCTCTGGTCCTCAGAATTCTGCTCAGCTGTCATCTCCTCCAGGAAGTCTTCCTGTCTGTTAGGTTTTGCCTGCATATAAAACGTACCTCTACTGTAACTATTAACACAGTTTTAATTATCTTCCCCCCACTAATGTAAATATTACCAGAGGGCAGGGACTGTGTTTTATTCTTCTTTGTTTCTCCTTACAGAACCTGGCACCTATGATGATCATAAAAGCTTTTGAAAATACTTTGTTCTCAAAATATTTAATATTATGGGATGGATAACCTCGAAAACATCATACTAAGTAAAAGAAGCCAGACACAAAAGGTCACATATCATGATTCCATTTTTACAAAAAGTCCAAATAGAAAAACCCATAGACTAAACAAGGGGAAAATTACAGCAGATTAACTCTCATCTATCTTAATATATCAAATTGCAGTTCTGAAAAAGGCCCCACCCAATCAGTGATTGTGATGGCCAAAAACGTTTAGTTAGTGGCTCCCACTGATTTGGTTCTATGGATTCCCCCTACTGGGCAGGAAAGCATTAGAGAGTACTATTGTGAAGAGGTGTTTATTGAATTGCTATATAATACACAATATAGAATATTCAAAATAAAACATGATAAAAATGTCAAGAAAAAGAAAAATCCAGAAAGACAGACAGTGGGGTGGGGTGGGGTAGGGTAGGGGGCATTGTAAATGCCTAAAGTAGAGATATCAGACCTGGTCCCTCACAGGAGAAATTTCTTATCTAGTCAGGGGTGTCGATAGGTGCTTTGAGTGAATGCTGAGGGTTGGGTTTCTGCCTAAGGATCTGGACAAGGATGGTGGCAAATAACTAGATTAATTTTGATCAAGCACTGTTGTAACCAATGGATAAATGCCCACTACATGACAAGCACTTTTGTAACACATACAAAAAAAAAAGTTCCTAGACATCCAAAACAAACTGGGTAAGGGGAGCTGAAAATCAGAACACTCCTTTGCACTAGAACATTTCCAAGCAAGCCCAGGCGCCTGACACCTCACCAAGCTGTACCTACACCGCCTAACGAGCGGGCTGTGCTGGCAGCACCATGGTCGCTGCCCTGCCAACTCAGGGTGCTCCACTCTCCTCCTACCTCCTGTCTCATTCTTCGATTTGCTTTCTATTTACTCTTACTCTTCACACACTGTCATGTGGCTCTGATATAACAGACAAGATGAGCCCTGGCTGGTGTGGCTCGGCTGGAGCATAGTCCCATAAATTGAAAGGTCATGGGTTCAATTCCCAGTCAGGGCACATGCTTAGGTTGCAGGTCTAGTCCCCAGTTGGGGTGCATATGAAAGGCAATCAACCGATGTTTCTCTCCCTCCCTCCCTCCTTTTCCTTTTCCTCTCTCTACATAAGCAGTTTACAGGTAGGATTAAAAAAAAACAGACAAGATGGCAAAGAAAATGCTGCATACAACTACATCCTAGCACATAGGGCACTGATCACACACTTTGTCTCAGTTCCCCCACATGTAATTTGAAATTTTTATATTTTCCTACTTCTTCAATTTCTTCTGATCTTAAATACAAATTATTTTAAATAAAGTGCTTGCCACCCACCTTACTTGAACTGCAGAAATCAACATTTTTCAATCACATTTCTATGACCTAGTCTATACCTCATTAATCACAGTAAGAATGAGGACTAATTAATGGAAGAGTTTAAGGAAAGTAAGTTACAAACATTTTTTGAGATCCTACCATATGCCAGGCACTGGGCTGGTGCTGAGAATATAGCTCTACATCCTTTCTGTTTTTATGCTTGGTCCAGTAACAGCTAAAACAACTGCTCAAAAATACTGAGGGCAAGGCCTGAGCCCTGGGTGTCTGCAGGCAGGCCTCTGTCTTTTGGCATCACCTCTGCTCACCTGTCAGGAGGCCAAGCACTGTCTGCACCTGGTCCAGCAGCAGCTTCCGCAACTCCTCCTTCCGAGCCACACTGAGGTCTTCACGGGGACAAGCCAGTTCTTCTGAAGTTGTTTTTAACATGATCAGCCCGAGGGGGGTTGTCACAGGGGACTGGATCAACTGCCGGGAAAAAGTAAGTTCTGAGCAAATTGTTTTAGCCATTAAGGTTCAAAGAGAACTGAGTAAATTAAACCTGTGAAGTACACCTGCGTGTTTGATCTTACATGAACAGGTTACATAAATCAACACTTTAGAAAAAATGACTTAGAGAGTATATTTATATACCTCTTTTAACCACTCAAAATATATTCTCATCTTATTTTAAAGACAAAATGCTAATACCATAAACTTAAAAATTACAACGATGCTCTGTTACACCTAAAATAGGACTTTTATACACGTCCAAATTCTAAACACTGCTTTGGTTACTTTGCCCAGGTTAATGTATTAGTTGTGTGTAAACCAATTTGTGGTATCTTTTCAACATTCAGGTGTTAAATCAACTGTACATTTCAAAGCTCTGTATGCTTCATGCAAGTTCAAGATTAAACATGTGGCAAGCAGAAACACTGCATGCACATTATTAAACTATAACTACAGCTATGATTTTGCAAATACTATGCAGCAAATTAAATTATTTTTGGTAGCACCTACAATATCCTCTACACCACAGGTGGCAAACACAAGGCCTGTGGGCCGAATCCGGCCCTCCACCTTGTTTTATCCGGCCCAGCACCTTGTTTCTACCTGGCCGCAGCGCCGAGCTCCTTGCCCCTGGCTAAGGAGTAGTTACATTTACACCGTCCTAAAATTACATCGGCCCTTTGAAGGCAACCGTGAGGCTGATGTGGCCCCTGGTGAAAATGAGTTTGACACCCCTTCACTACACCCTAAGAAAGTTTCCTTAAACACAAAACAGAAAAAAAGTACACCTTAAATAGCATATCACTACTTATATCCTTCTAATCAATTTCACAAAATTCAAAGCATTACTATTGTATTTATTTTCTGGTTTACAGAAATGGTAAATGGAAATAATTTGCCACTAAAATTCTCTGTTGAGTTATATGCTAAAATCTGTAAGAGAACAATTTAAGGAACACAATTATTTTCTTAAATCATAATTAACTTTAAATGTAATTTATTCATTGATACAAATAAATTTTTTATTTTCTCAGTCTACAAACTATAAGCCTAAAGAAAGAGGACACCAGGAACTACACCCAAATAGAATGTATATTCCCCACTTCAAGAAATATAGGGCAGACTTCTGGTCAAGATGGTGGCATAGGTAAACGTAGTACTCCCATTCTCCCACAACCATATCAAAATAACAGCTAAACTACACAACTACCATCATTCAAAACTTTCTGAAATTGACCTGAATAGAAGTCCTACGACTAAGGATTTAAAAAAGCCACATCAAGACTGGTAGGAGGGGTGGAGACACAGAATGGGCTAGTCCCACACCCATGTGTGGCATATAAAAACGGGGAGGGATACTTCAGCTGCAGAGGTACCCCCCCCCCAACAGCCGCCGAAGGAGTGAGGGATCCCAGTCCCACACCAGGCCCCTAAGCCCAGGGTTCCAGTGCTGGGAAGAGAAGTTCCCGTAACTTCTGACTGTAAAAATCAGCAGTAATTTAGACTGAGTAAGACAAAGGGCTTCTGGAGTCCCAGGCAGTTCCTCTGAAAGGGCTTGCAAACAAAGTCACTCTTGACTCACTCTTTCTGATCTCCAGTATTGGCATGGCAGCTGGAAAGACACCAGGGACATACAGATGAGAGCTGAGGGACTGCTTTCTCCCAGACAAAAGTGCTGGCAGAGGCCACTGTTCCTCTGATGAGCCCTTCCCCTCACAGGTACTGGCAGTTGGGTGCCACATCTGAGTCTCCAACAACCCAGCTATCACTGTTTGTCCCACCCTGGTGATTCCCTAAGGCCCCACCCCACCAAACTTGCAAGCCTGTTCAAGCTGTTTCCAGTGCCTTTTCCATATAAATGGCCTGTCTTGGCTCCTGCTTCAGACTTTCCTAAAATCTCTCAAACAAGCAACATCTGGCCTGAGCATGCCCCATACCTCTCACTCAGTGGCCCCAGGCCCAGCATTAGCAGCAGCCAGATGTGGTTTGCAGCCAGCCCTCTTCTGGGCACCTCCAAGCCCAGCACAAACAGCATCCATCCACAGACAGCTTTGTAGCTCATGCAGGGTGGTCCCAAACGGAACACAGGCAGTAGCTGACTTTGGCCTACACCTCCTGGGAGGCCCCAGAGCCAGCACACCTGGTGGACAGCTTCAGACCATGTCGAACTACCACCCAACCACCTCCTCAGAGACACACTCAAGGGGCAGACTAAGTGGGCACCAAAGCCCAGATAAATTAAGTCCTGCTCTGGGGGAAATGGGCCCCTGCACAGCTGATCCTCCACAGTTGTTGGTAGTCAAAACCAGTCCTTGCAGTTGAATCAGCTGGCCTAGGGGTAAATCTGTCCCACTGACAAGAGAATAGCAATCATGGCTCAAATACAACAGGAGGGTGGACACAGCTCACACAGGGGTGGGGAAGGCAACTGGAATGCCAAGCTTGGGTGATAGGGGAGGCTGTGCCACTGGACACTACAAGACACCTACTACATTAGGCCACTCTACCAAGGACAGGGGACATAGTAGTTCCACCTAATACACAGACACAAACACAGGGAGGGTGCCAAAATAAGGAGACAAAGAAATATGCCCCAAATGAAAGAACAGAACAAAACTCCAGAGAAACAGAGACAAGCAAAAATACTAGATGAAAAGTTCAAAATACCAGTTATATGGATACTCAGTGAATTTAGGGCAACAGTAGTTGAACTAAGAACTTTAACAGCATCGAGAATGACACAGAACCCACCTACAAAGGCTTGTCTGTGATTCCCAGTCTTTGGGCACGTAAGAACTGGAGGCAAAGAAATGTGGACTTGGAAAAGTCTGGGGCAGCTTGCTTCCTGCAGGCTCAAGATTAACTATTCCACATTTTTTTTTTTAAAGACATGGAAACCATAAAAAAGAACCAGTCAGTAATGAAAGACACACTAACTGAAATGAAGAATTACAGGGAATCAGCAGTAGAGTGCATGAAGCTGAGAATCAAATCAGCAATTTAAAATATAAGAAAAGAAAAAAACACCCAATCAGAACAACAAGAAGAAAAAAAAATCCCCCAAAATGAAGATAGTATAAGGAGCCTCTGAGACAAGTTCAAGCATACCAACATTCACATCATGGGGGTGCTGGAAGGAGAAAAGAGAGAGCAAAAAATTAAAAATCTATTCAAAAAAAATGCCAGAAAACTGGTAAAGGAAACAGACATATAAGTCCAGGAAGTGCCGAGTTCCAAACAAGATGAACCCAAAGAGACTCACACCAAACACATCACAATTAAAATGCAAAAGATTAAATACAAAGAGAGAATATTAAAAACAGCAAGAAAAAAGCAGTTAGTTACCTACGAGGGAGCTCTCATAAGACTGTCGGCTGATTTCTCAACAGAAACTTTGCAAACCAAAAGGGAGTAGCAAGAAATATTCAAAGTGATGAAAAGCAAAAACCTACAACCAAGATTATTCTACCCAGCAAAGCTATAATTTAGAATCAAAGGACATAGAGAGAGCTTCCCAGACAAGGAAAAGTTAAATGAGTTCATCACCACCAAATCAGTATTACATGAAATGTTAAAAGGTCTTCTTTAAGCCCTGGCTGTGTAGCCCAGTTGGTTGGAGTGTCGTCCCATAAACCAAAAAGTCACAGGTTCAATTCCCAGACAGGGCACATACCTAGGTTGCAAGTTTGGTCCCCGGTTGGGATGTATGAGAGGCAGCTGATCAATGTTTCTTTCTCACACTGATGTTTCTCTCCTTCTCTCTCTCTCTCCCCCTTCCCCCTCTCTCTAAAATCAATAAGCATGTCCTCAGATGAGGATTAAAAAAAGGTGAAAGAAAAAAAGATAAAAAATACGAATAAAATGGCAATAAATACATATCTATCAACAAATGAATCTAAAAAAACAAAAACAAAAAACAAAAAAGCAGAACAGAAACAGACTCATAGATACAGAGACCATTTTGACAGTTGCCAGATGGGAGAGGAGATTGGCGGGCGGGTGAAAAAGGGGACAAGATTAAGAAGTACTAATTGGTTGTTACACAACAGTCATGGGGATATAAAGCACAGCATAGGGAATATAGCCAATAATATTCTAATAACTATGTGTGGTGTCACATGGGTACAACTTTATTGAGATGATCACTTACTAAGTTATATGTCTTACCACCTTAAACTAATATAATATTGTATGTCAGCTGTAATTGAAAAATAAAAAGATTTAAATTAAAAAAAAAAGAAATGCAGGTGCTTTACTTTGCCTTGAAAACTCTTCCCATTGCATACCAAGGAAAATTCATCCCCAAGGAGTAGGAAAAGTACTCAATCATGGGGACTTTGATAAATTCAACTGCCCTCAGAAGCAGCATTGTATAAACACAGTAGCACTCAATGGCGCATTAAAAATGGTCTTTATGGGTGACAGGCAGAAAACAGACTTTTGGTGGTGAGCCCGCAGCAGAGTATACAGATATCAAGTTACCATGTTGTCCACCTGAAATCTATCATGTGAATGTTACCTCATTTTTTAAAAATGTTCTCTATTAAATCAGTTCTCTTGAACAATAAAACTTCAAATACAGCCTCCAAAAGTTTTCTCTTCATTTTCTACAAGTTTGAACTATTTCTAACACTGACTGACTTACATTCAGATAATGCAGGAGGGTAGGAACAGAAAACCCTCACCTAACAATGTTCCTTCCATAATAGAGCAGAACTGACCCTTCCTGAGCACCCTTTATTTCATTTGGAGACTTTTGGGTTATCCATCCATATTTTACAAGATTTCTGTTACTTCCCCTCGTTTACTTCTTTCTTTTCTGTCGTGTCTCTATTTTCCCCCAAGCCCTCAATCTTACTCTCTCAGCTGGGAATGATTCCTACTACCAAATATTACATTTGACAATACACTTTCCTATAGATATGAAATGCTTCTGTGCTTCCCATAAATAAATCCCAACAATATGGAAAAATGTA